ACACATTTTTTAATCAAATTCTATTACCTTTTTAAAATTAAATCTTTTTTCTAACTTTTTTTAAAAGATAAATCCTTTTTCTAACCCTTTTTTAAAGTTAAATCTATTTCTAACTTTTTTAAAGTTAAATCTTTTTTTTTTAATTTTTTTAAAAAAATCAAATCTTTTTTCTAACTTTTTAAAAGTTAAATCCTTTTTCTAACTACTTTTTTAAAGCTAAATCTTTTTTTCTAACTTTTTTGAAAAAAATTAAATCTTTTTTTTTCTAACTTTTATAAAGTTAAATCTTTTTTTTCTAACTTTTTTAAAAAAAATTAAATCTTTTTTTTCTCTAACTTCTTTTTAAAGTTAAATCTTTTTTTCTAACTATTTTAAAAATTAAATCTCACCTTTGTCACTTTTTTTGTTCTTTATTATTTTTACTCTAAATTTTTCTATCTTTCATTAAAAAATAACAAAAATAGTTTTTTATTATTATTTAATTATTATTTTCGTATTTTAATTAAATCATTTTTTAAAATATTATTTTTTTCACTTTTTTCTAAATTATTCATAAAAATATCCAAAAAATCATAAAATAAAAAATATTGAAAAAATTTTTGTTCTTTTTATAATATTTTTGATTTTAGGAATCAATAGGATTATTAGTTTATTTTAATTATTTTAAATTATTTAAATTTTATTTTTTCTTAACTAATTATTTAGTTTGGGCTTTAAAATGGGCTTTAGGGACATTATTGACAATTTGGTGTTAACCCTAATTTGTTCCCTATATATACATGTGTTGCCTTGTTGGAAAAAGAGGGAGAATGAAAAAAACCTAAGAGGAGTGAGTGCCGTTTGCCGTTATTTAGTTTTCTTCTTCATCCATTACTATTGTTTCTTTTTCTTCATCGTTTACCGTTATTTCTTTTCCTTCATCTATTACTGTTGTTTCTTTTTCTTCATCTTTTACCGTTATTTCTTTTTCTTCATCTATTACTGTTATTTCTCTTTCTTTATCTATTACTGTTACGTTTATATATATATAATTTTTAAATTGTTAGAGTTTATATATATAAGATTTTTGATCGAATTATGTCGATACGATGTTTGCACATTTGTGTGCATGACGCGTGACATTTGTGTTAGTTCGATCTGGTTGCGATGATCGCATTTTTGTGTGAGCAATAATACTATCTTTTGCTTAATTTCTTTTTCTTTGCGATAAATTTTGTTTCGTCCGATTTAGATCTGGTTGCGATGAGCGCATTTCTGCGTTAGCAACATTGTTGGGTTATTTGGCACATTTAAAATTCATTATTGCTTTATTATTATTATTATTATTATTATTATTGTTATTATTATTATTATTATTATCATTATTTATTATTATTATCATTATTATTACCATTATTATTATTATTGTTATCATTAATTTATTAAAATTTGTTATAATATAAAAATCTGTTTTTAAAATAAATAACATTAACATCTTTTCCAAATTAATATGAAAACCTATTATTTTTAAGAAAAACTTTTTTTTTTAGATAAATTTAAAATAATAACTAAAATCTTTTTTTTGAAAATAATAACTAGAACCGTTATTTATTTTATTTTATTATTGTTCAATTCAAATTTCATTATCATATTGTATCTGCTCCTCTCATGTAACCTCGCGAACTTAACAATCGCTCTTTAAATTCTGCCTTTAAATTTCTGCTTGCATGGTTTAAATTATGACATTATCTCTCTGTTTGCATGATTCAATTATCTCACGCGTTTACTATTATTTCTGTCACATTGCACACATCCGAAGGTTAGGTCTAACTGTTTGGCCGCCGCGCCAATAGTCCGTAAAACTTCACACATTCAATTTCAAATCCTCAAAACTACAAACTACAAACCCTAATTTTCACAAATGCCTCGCCGCAGGCAAAATTACAATTTTACCCTTAGCATTAGGTCAAAGAGCCGCCGCGCTCATTTTAGGGTTTCCCCCCGTGGAATCCCTAATTTAACCCTAATTACAACTTAACATTTCAACGTAGAGATTTGGAGTTTCTACACTCCACGTAAGCGTGTCCTTAAGATGCGTTTATTCCCCTTGAGACCTTGACCACAGTCAAGAAGTTTCTAACCTCCCTATTGAGGGGAACTACGATTACTCTGATTCCACTCCCGTAAGGATACGTAGGCACAAGATGCGATGTCTTGCCGAGTAAACTTAGAATTAACCCCCTTTATTATTTATTATTGCTTATTTATATTTTATTTATCTTTGCTATTTAATTATTTTGCTTATTATTTTGTAATTGTTTCTTGGATGTAAAGTTGTTTAATTATTTAATTATTATTATGGTTAGTAATTAGGGAGTGTAACAACATGTATGTAATATTAAAATAAATTTAGATCACTTTTAAATAAAGATAATTAAAATAAACACGTCACACACGTAAGTCGATTTTAATCGCCGTCTCACTTCCTAAGGATATCCCTCAAGTTGCCTACGAATAATGGTTAAGTGGGGTGTATAAAGCAAGTCCCTCAAATAAAAAAATCATCAAAGTCCCTTATGGTTGCCTTTACGAATCGAGTCCCTTTCGAAAAATGATGATGGTCCCTTATATGTGCTTATTACATCCCACAATGGCCTTCAAAGTCAAATTGTCCCTCACATGTCCCTTAACATCCAAAGTAAGGACTACCTACTCCATTATAGTAGGGATAGTCTTACTAAAGGAAAGAATAAAGAATAAGAAAGACCTTTAAACATTAGGGTAGGTTACTCCTAGGTGCTTGCTCACTTCAAAACTGTTTCACACTTAAACAAATTTTCAACAAGTTTTCAAACAAGTTCTTAACACATCCTTACATGGATTATTTATTAACTATTCTGAAAATTTTCTATTCACACACTACACTTTCAAAACAATTCAAAAGTGAGCTTAAGTACCTAAGAGCCCATGGATAACCATGGATGAAAAGGGTGCTAACACCTTCCCTTTTCATAACCTACCCCCCGGACCCAAAATATTCTCTAAGGTCTTTCCTGTTCTTTTATAACCTTTCCTTATGGATAAAATAAAAGTCGGTGGCGACTCTTGCTATCCGCAACATTGTTTAAAGTCAGTTCTCCCACCGTGTTACAGACAGCACCAAATTGGTAAACCAACCTAGCTCCACAACAAGACTAAACTCCTAGCTAAAACTGATAGCAAGCACAGTGTTAAAACAAAATGGCAATAAAGTCCTACCATTAATTTAGACTGTCCTATGGTAACAACTCAGTCTTATAAGCAAAACTCCTAAAAATAGAACTAAGCAAACCTATGCAAACATCAAGAGCTCTAATGTCCATGCTAAGGCCTAAACAAGCACAAAGTCATTACAAACTAGTCGTGAGTTAACAGACTTCAAAGCAGGGCAAGACAGTTGTAGACTCAACAAAATGCATGAACATTTAAAACATTAAGATCCTGAGATGTTCAAAAATGGTTCAGAATAGGATTCAAACGTGGTCTTAAAAGGTCCATCACAACAAGTTAATAGCATAGTTAACAAACTTCAACATGATAATGTACAAACTAGTTCAAAATCAAAAGAACACATGATGATACATATTAGTGAATGAGTTCAAAGTAACATACCTCAAGGATTCCTTATTATGCTAGTAGCCAAGAAAACCTGAGTTCCTCTTCATCAAGTTTGTGAAGCTTACTTATTTTTGAAGAAACAAGCAAATCTTGAGGTCCGCTTGAGTAGATGAGATTCCCACTGTTATTTGAGACTATGAACAGAAGTAAGGAATGATAGAACGAAAGCTATATCTTCCTTCTGTTTTGGATCGTTTTCTGGTGTTCAATAATCCCCCTTTTCCTCTTTGTGACATCCTCCTTTTATGAAAGAAATAAAACCCCCTTTTGACCAATCCCAGCTCCTCCCTTTAAAACAATGAATATTAAGAAACTGGGTTCAAGTGAAGATCCAAAGGATCTTCTTCCCTTTTGATCCTGTTGCACCACTTTTCTTTTCTTTCCCAAACTTTCCAAAATAAACCATATCAATCAAATCTCCTGTTGTCCTCACTGTGGGGAATGGATTTGCTTTACCATGTGACAGTGAAAATTAACAAGGTGTGAGAGAGAAAAAAGCCTATGATATGATCTGCAAGAGCTGGTGTATCACAAATTGCCACTTTCATGTTATATCACAAACACCTTTTGTTGTGTCAATGGAAAGAGGAGCTTATTTGGGAAAGTTTTGGGACAACTGTTGTTGATTGTTATCACAGGCCCTAGGCCTTAATCTCTTAATCCACAAATCACTTTACATTGGCTACTCATGAGATTAAATCAGGATAAGCATGTTCATGTTTAAATCAAATTTCCAAAATGCATCTCAAAGCTTCCTCTTGCATCTACTATCGGCTTTTAATTCACACACAATTTGAGAAAACTAATAATGCCATCTAATTCCTTGTTGAAAATCACACAAGATAGACTTTGAGTTTGCTAAAATTGATGTTGTTTTGCCCAAGTTTGAAGCTTCACGTATGTTGCTCTTGTTTTGCCTTGCTTGGTTTGTTTGAGGTGGCCCAGAATTTTCACACCTTGAAGTATATATTACACTAGGGTGGTTTAAAACACTGGAAGTATTACCACCCCAGTGGTTATGGCCTATGCGCTCATGCATTAGCCTTGCCCAACGTCCTGAGTTTGATCAGTGTGGATCAACTCCTTTGACTGTTTGCATTTTATTTCATTCCTTGATACTTAACCTTCTTTTTCCATAAGTTTTCACATGCGCGCGCTAGCTGAGTTGGTGAAGTTTTAGACTTGTGACCCAATGGTTGTAGGTTCAACACTTACCATGTGAATTTCTAACTTTTTATCAACTGGATTTTTATGCTTTATTCACAAACTTTAAAACTTACCATATGAATTGGTTAGTGATGCATAGATGATTGACCTAAAATGATTATGCAAAAATCAATGCATCTTAGGGTAAAATTTGGGGTATGACACTGTGGGATGACCCAACTAAGTCCAATGACATTCTTGTCAAGTTAGCTAACAGAGCCAAAGTCATTGATTCTCTAAAGGACTTGAGGTACAAGGTTATTTTCGGTTCCCATATCTTTCAACTAAACCATCGCAATTTTATTTGAAAAGAATGTAATCATTTGTTGTATATCAAGTAGGTAGAGGAAGCACAGCTCATAAAGCAGTTGACTGAGATGAATGCTATTGATTATGGGTTGTATAAACAAGCATATGACGCTTCTGTAGATATGGGCAAAATTCTGGATCAGTATGAAATATCCAAGCTTCTTAAGGGTCCATTTGATATGGCAGGAGCATGTTTGGTAATAAAAGCTGGACCTGCCGGCATCTTTCCAAAGGTTTCATACATACATAGTCTTTGAAATTAATTACAACTAGGTTTGATATGTAACTTGTGAATTGTGTTGGTGGTGTATTCATGTTATTAATTATTATACTCTATGAAAACTCAACCTTTGATAATGATGCATTCTACAATTGATTTTGAACATAGCAATTGTCATGAGCCACATCATCTTTTATATTTCTTTTTAGACTTTGCAAAACTTGATTGTTCTCAATCTATATATGTAATTTATTCTATTGTATTTGACCTACTTCTGTATGAATCAAGCTCTAGCCAGAACAATTCCTACAATGTATCTTGGATGGGCCAAAAGACAAGGCCGTGAAGGAAGGATTGTTGACAGATGTCAGATCGAGAATGAAGGAATTGATTCAGAAACTATAGAGTTTGAATTTGAATATGCTTATGGCTATCTTTTAGGGGAAAAAGGAGTTCACCATTTGATAAAGGGTTCTCCAAATGAATCTTCTCATCTTGAGGTGCAAACAATTCCTTTCATACTACCTATTAGTAGAACTGATTTTCCTTTCTAGTTGAATAATATTTTCTTTTCGTATTGAATTTGATTTTTTGGAAAACTGATATTGTGAAGAAAAATGTTTATCATTTTGTTTTAAATGTTTGCAAGCATTTTTATAAATTTTAGTATGGAAATATGGTGAAATAATTTTTCCTGCTTAATGCAAAATTTGCAGACTAGCTCAGCAACTGTCGATGTTATTCCGTTGTTCCTAGAGAATGCTTGTGATTTTGAGATTGATTCAGTGGATTTGATTATCTCATCTCCCTCGACTCATGGAAAACGGAAAAAACAAATTGAGTGTAATGTTTGCATTCAGCGTGTACCTACTAAATGATAACGCATGTCAGATTTCTAAAAAAACAACGGCTACGTAGGAAGTAGTTAACGTGTTTTTTATAGAAAAATTAATGGAATAAACTACTTAGATTAACTTACGTTTTTAATTCAAAACGAAACAATAAATTAAACTAAAGAATCTTAATTAATCCAAACATAAAAATCTCTTGGAAGTACGAACCGTCTAGGCTGCGGTGTAGCCCACTTATCTCTTTCCAGCACAAGAACACACATTTTTCCTTTTCAAGATAAGGTGAAGCCAACAAAAAAGTGGAGCGAAATTTCGGTCTTCACACCAAACAAAGCCTTTGTGGTTATGGCAACTATGAACTTTAAAAGTGCTTGTGCAAGAACTGCTCATGATGTTCTTTCTTCTTTCGGCTCAAAATGGTATTCTTCTCTAGCTAGGAATAATAATCCACATGTTGGCTTGTTTCTCTGTTCTTTCAAAATCAGGGCTTGTCACCCCATCAATAACAATATCAAGGACATCTACAAACAAGTGGGTCTGTTCCAAACTACTGTCTTTTTTTTTAAAGAGCAAGTACTTCTGGTTTTGCTTTTTGTTTTCACTTGTTTTTATAACTCAGCTTTGTTAGGTTCATTTTGGTTCAACCCAAATTCTAATAGTAGGAGTGAAGAGTGTTTTTCTTTTGGATACCTATCTAACATACACCTCTGAAAATAAACGTCTCATATCGGTGACATTGCACCTGACATTTGTTATTACTTTAATATATTTAATTTTTAAAATTATTACTGATGTCGTCGGGTCGGGGTCATATTCGGTTCAAGGGGTTCGTGCTTCATTACAACTTTATCTCACTTATTAATTCCTTAAATAATGACTATAATTGAAATCTGATCAGGTTTATTTTCACTTGGAAGGAAAATTGAAGACACGGTTATTTGTGCTGAGTTGTATGCATCAACAGCTTTGGAAATGGAAGAAGCTAGTTGGATTAAGCAGGAAAAATGATGCGTGATTCGGATCTGTGGGATGACCCAACTAATTCCAATGAAATTCTTGTCAAGTTAGCTAACAGTGCAAAAGTCATTGATTTTCTAAAGGACTTGAGATACAAGGTTATTTTCTGTTCCCATATCTTTCAACTAAACTATCGCAATTTTATTTGAAAAGAATGTAATCATTTGTTGTATATCAAGTAGGTAGAGGAAGCACAGCTCATAAAGCAGTTGACTGAGATGAATGCTATTGATTATGGGCTGTATAAACAAGCATATGACGCTTCTGTAGACGTGGGCAACATTCTGGATCAGTATGAGATATCCAAGCTTCTTAAGGGTCCATTTGATATGGCAGGAGCATGTTTGGTAATAAAAGCTGGACATGTCGGCATCTTTCCAAAGGTTTCATACATACATAGTCTTTGAACTTAATTACAACTAGGTTTGATATGTAACTTGTGAATTGTGTTGGTGGTGTATTCATGTTATTAATTATTATACTCTATGAAAACTCAACCTTTGATAATGATGCATTCTACAATTGATTTTGAACATAGCAATTATCATGAGCCACATCATCTTTTATTCTATTGTGTTTGACCTACTTCTGTATGAATCAAGCTCTGGCCAGAACAACTCCTACAAATGTATCTTGGATGGGCCAAAAGACAAGGCCGTGAAGGAAGGATTGTTGACAGATGTCAGATCGAGAATGAAGGAATTGATTCAGCAACTATAGAGTTTGAATTTGAATATGCTTATGGCTATCTTTTAGGGGGAAAAGGAGTTCACCATTTGATAAAGGGTTCTCCAAATGAATCTTCTCATCTTGAGGTGCAAACAATTCCCTTCATACTACCTATTAGTAGAACTGATTTTCCTTTCTAGTTAAATAATGTTTTCTTTTCGTATTGAATTTGATTTTTTGGAAAACTGATATTGTGAAGAAAAATGTTTATCATTTTGCGTTAAATGTTTGAAAGCATTTTTATAAATTTTAGTATGGAAATATGGTGAAAAATTTTGCCTGCTTAATTCAAAATTTGCAGACTAGCTCAGCAACTGTCGATGTTATTCCGTTGTTCCTAGAGAATGCTTGTGATTTTGAGATTGATTCAGTGGATTTGATTATCTCATCTCCCTCGACTCATGGAAAACGGAAAAAACAAATTGAGTGTACTGTTTGCATTCAGCATGTACCTATTGGGATATGTGACCAATCCTCTGGTATGAGTATTCTAGTTTATTGAGCATGTATCAGAATTTGCAAATGAAATGGAGGATTTTACTGAATTACATTTTCTGCAAAGGTGAGAGAATCCAGTTTGCAAATAAGATGAAAGCACTAAACGGATTGAAAGCTAAGCTTGAAGTGATAGCAATTGAACAAGGAGTTGATAGTATAAATAGTATAGTGAAGGATAAAATTTTGAATCTGTGGAAAGAAGAAACTCGGAGGTATGTATCGCATCCGTAAAAGTTAGTACATGATGTAAAGACTGGCATTGAGATGATAGACTTAAATACTGTTTTGGATGGGAATATCAGACCTTTTGTTGCAGCTCATATTAATACCAGAGAGTAATAATGTCATCATTTTTGAATTGATATTGATTTACAGAAATTGTGTTTATCTATCTGCCAATTATTTAGGATGATATATATATATATATATATATATATATATATATATATATATATATATATATATATATATATATATATATATATATATATATATATATATATATATATATATATATATATATATATATATATATATATTCTTCTTTCATATAACGGATAATGAATGTGTTTATAGAGTCTGACTTTATTGAGATAGTTACTTCTTTACAATATTATTTTCTAAAACAGATTTGTATTATTTTAAAGTTTTACTTATTATTTCTTTCATAACCTTGAGTCTTGTTTTTTCTGTTTGTTTAGCACACTGTAATTGCTTCTTAGAAAACAAATTATAAGGGGGGGATTTGTAAGTTTAACTGAGTTATAATCTATCACTTTTAGAATTTGTTTTGTAAAGCTGTGACATTGTCTCAATTGTCTCAATAGCCATGTCTCAGATCGTTAGAGCCATAAGGGGTATATGAAGTAGTAGTCCTCGTAGTATTACATCTATAAATAATAATGATAAAATAGAATTAGATCGAGATACTTTTCAGAGTCAAGAATTAGAAACTCAAGAATTATAAAACAAATTATTTAACTGGTCTATGTCAGAAATTAGGCTAAAAGAATTTTATAAAATTGGTAGTTCGATTATAATGTTAAAAAGATTATTCACACCATTGAGTCGGCTAAATTAACAATAAACATGAAACGATTAATTTATTAGATAGAAAATTATTAGTAAATCATCATAAAAATGAATTTAAATACATTCATTTGGGATTAATTCAAATTGCTATTAAACTTCTGCGCCCATACTACTGGTTCTACAGGATACCTATATTAAAGACTTTCATAACTCAACTATTGCCATAATTGAGTTTAATCTTAATGATGGCCCAGTTTATTTTAATTGCCATCCGAATTACTTTATGAGTCTACTAAGAATTCGTTAATTGTTTATGTGCAACGCTTAGAGGTACGCCTTTAATCCTGGAGTCTCTAACATATATGTCATAAGCAAAATTACATATAAAGTCTCTAACATCAATTATAATTTTAAATCTCTTAGGTCTACACCTAAGAATGAAACTTGTATTATCGAAGCAACCTTAGCAGATCTAATGTCATGACCCCTAAGATTCTCTGCTTCAGATACTATAGACAAATTGTCTCATGAATGGATTTTGTAAGATGTTATTAAATTTGATAAGATAGGAGCCAAATATATTAGAGATGTTATTCAAGATCTTGACGGATCTGTCAGAATAAGAATGAATAGAAGTCAATCTTCGTTATCATAAATCTAGCAGCATAGGATCAACTTCCAGCGCTAGAAACTCGGTAGATTCTACCATTAGAGTAGACCTTGCTGGAGTGAATTTCACTCCTCCAATACCCCAATCTTTTTACCATGAAAGAATTTCTAGATCTTCCTCTCCGACTAAATCACAGATTATATGAGTCATTACAAAGGATGAAGAGTCATTTGTCATTGGCAAGATCTGGATTAGAACAAATTTTGAGGATGATTACAATTTAGACATAAGAAGATGGTACTTATTTACATTCTCTAAAGAACAAACTCAACAATGTTTGAAGGATTTTTTTTATCATTTCTTATAAAAACATGAAATTAATATTTACTTCTTCACCTAGTTTGAATTAGTTTGTCTAGAAGAAAAGATAAACATCCCTTTTGCTACTAAAATGTATTTAGATGCAAATATTAGGATTAGTACAAAGTGGAAAACGATTAAAAAGGAAATCATATATCTATTCATCCACCTTTAGAAGCTATAAAATTTATACCCCCTTGTTGTGGTGAGAATCGTGATACTAAGTTATTGATTAACTTGAATCTTAATTCATCAAATTCACAACCGAATTTTAATATATCCAAAAGGAAAGGTTTAAAGAAAGAAATACCTATAAAAATGCAAAGCAAAAAGCAAGGCCTAAAATTAAGCAAAGAGAGATCTAAAGGTTCGGGGGTTGGTTATGCATAGGGTAGGTATTTCACATCCTAAACATCTGTAGTACTCTACAGGAACCTCTTGTTAGTATTTGTGTTTGCTAGAGTTTTGCTAAGGGAAAAGTGCTAGGGTAAAGATCTAAAGCGTATAAAGTATGTACAAAGTTTTCTCACGAAGACATCACATCTCGTGCCTACGTATCCTGACAGGAATGGAATCAGAGCAACCGTAGTTCCCCTAACTAGGGGTGAGGAACTCTTGACTATGGTCAAGGTTCCAAGGGGATGTAAGCATTCATAGAGAAGTACTTACATGGAGTGCGGCGACTCCTATTCTAAGGTTATGTTAAACGGGAAAAGAAATGTCCACGGCGGGACGACTAAATAGAGCACGGCAACTCCAAGCCTAAGTTGCAAAGGTAAAC